TGTTCTCAACTACGTCTGGGCTGGTCTGTTCCACCCAGCACGCAAAGTTAGACAACGTGAGTCACTCTTCTTACATTCTCATATATTTACTAAATTGATGCTGACGATGCCATTAGCTTATTGGACGCTTTACAACAGCGCTTATGTATTATCAGCCGATGCTATCGTGCCTTACTACCCAAACATGGATGATGAGAAGATGGACAGGCCTGACTTGGCAATTGTGATATAAAACAGGCACGCAATGATTTGAACATGGAGGATTGGGTATTTTGGGCATACGTATGTACATTAATTATGATAGCGGCTCGAGCGGGTATAAAATGTCACTTCGTTTTTTTCGTTAAGATACAAAAGTACTGGGAGATGTGAAGTTGAATGGAAAGATAACTTGTGATGAAGCTAGGGTAAAAAGAATAATGGCATTATTCCGTAGATGCAGTACGTCAACTGCTTTATGATCACATCAGGCAATTGAAAGCACCAAATAGAGGAAAGGGTAGTAAAATATTCTCTAGATTTCTTACACATAATAGATTTTTTTGATTTATAATTAAGACAAACAATCGAAAGTATTGGAAAGGAGATAGTGATACATTGTCTAGATTTCCTAGATGCAATAAAATTCTTATTCTTCATAATCAAACTAGACAACCAAAAGTCCTCTCAACAGTAAATACATTACCACACTCTTCAATGCATGAATCTGATTTTGAAAACAAGAAGATGCTCGGGTCATTCCGATTCCAAAGTAACCAGTCAGATGGTGCTAAACCCTAGACTAGTTTGCTGTCCACATGTGATTTCACCCGTAATTCTTGGACAATCAAACTAAGCTGCATGTCAATATACTCGCTCTTGTCGTAATTAATGCCGTGCTGATGCCTCGCAAATTCGCCTGTTTACCTGTCCAGAATCGAAACAAAATCAGAATCATCCCTTTCCAAAATTCAATGATTATTCGATCCTCAAAGACTTATAAGAGAAAACAAATCAGCATAATGGAAATTTGTATCAAATATCGATTAGCCTTCCTGAAGATTGCTCTTGGTCTAACAAATCAAACATTACATCATCATTCCACTCGTAGGCTTATAAATTGATAGGTACTAAGCCTTGATTTTGCCTAGTGTTCGTTTCTTAAAATACCGAGTGCAATTGCAATACCGAGTACATGGTAGAAAGATGGATTTTATTACATTGGACTTGACTGCCATTGTGCCAGCCATACCCCTTAGGGCCCTAGACCCGATCTGATCATACATTGCATGCTTATTTCAGTCTAGCTCCTTCTTTTGTACCTACACTCTTTACCATCTGACGGGAAACGATTACTCGTAGTCCTATGGTAAGATTACTATTTACCATAAATTTTGAGAATATATGCCGACCTCGAGCCGACCTTGAGCCGGCCCCATCAATTCCCCGCATTTTAGATGTCACTGCGGGGAAGATTCTGGTCAAGCGAGCTAAACGATCTAATTGGGTTAAGCGGGCTTTACGAGCCTCTATACGAGCTTCTCCGCGAGCCTTCGCAATGGCACCCATCGAGCCATCCTCGCCATCCCATTCATATGGGCGAAAAGAAGGCGGTATAGCCCCACACAATTGCCTTGGTAAAAAAATCTAAACGGCATCTCCATTGAATAAGATGAACTAAATCATACTTTCGTCCGTTGCTATACCGAATTCTGCGAGAATTGAAAACGAGATGACATATTTTTGGTCAATTTGGAAATATATATAGCTACGATGAAGGAAGTGTACCAGATGCTGATTGTCTCTACGCAGGAAGCCTTTGGTCTTCAATCTTGGCCAAAGTTCTCATGGGTTCTTTATACATCTCCGTTTAGATTCATGTCGAAAATACCCACGATGATTTTCTCATATTTTTCTGTCAGTCTTCTTGGCTTGTGTGTGGTATCAACTAAAGCTATACCATATGAAGAATACATTCTTACGCCAAATTCTCGAACGCTATCACCAGTATCAGTATACAATATCAATGGCTCAGTTACCAATGCAGAAGCATTGACCGCTACTGGATCCTCAAATCCAGCGACATTCGGTCCCTCTTCGGCTATCACCTACGATTTTGGAAAGAATATCGCTGGTATCGTCTCCTTCAATGTTGGCACCATCGATGGAGATGGCGATCAATTCATTGGAATCAGTTTTACTGAAAGTTCACTGTGGATCAGCGATAAAGGATGTGATGCTACAGCCGATGGAGGAATCGATGAAGCTTTGTGGTATCCAGTCACCAGTGGTGGCTTTTATCAAGCGGAAAAGAAACAACAACGAGGTGGATTTAGATATCTAAATGTCTATCACAATACCACCGGGTCTGTTGAAGTCTCAAATCTGACTATACAATACACTGCTTTACCTCATAAAGCAGAAAACGAACTCAGAGCCTACACAGGTTACTTTCACTGCAATGACGATCAGGTCAATCGAGTATGGTACGCTGGAGCCTATACTAATGATATGTGTACTATTGATCCTACAACTGGGGACTCTCTAGTACATCTAGGCGTGATCACTTCAAATAGCACCATCACAGAACCTGTAACATGGTGGAACAATTACACCATTGCGAGTAAGTTCTTCTTTCCGTGTTACGAGAATAATACTGACAAGTAACTATCAGATGGTACCAGTGTTCTTACTGATGGCGCCAAGAGAGATCGTCTCGTATGGCCTGGAGATATAGCAATTTCTGGTCCCTCGGTCTTCGTTTCAACTAACGATATGCCAACCATCAAGAATTCTCTTGATTCGTTACTTGTACTTCAAAATTCCTCAGGTGCACTACCATATGCCGGTATTCCATTTACCACAGTTATCTCAACCTGGAGTTTTACCTATCACCTCCATTCACTGATCGATATTCACGATTATTATTTATTTACCGGCGACGAGGAGTATTTGAAAGAACATTGGGGACAATTCACATTGGGAATGAATTTCTCCTTAAGTCTTATCGATGAGACACAAATGGCCAATCTTCCTCCAGATAACCCTGATTGGTTACGAGTTGGTATGGGTGGTCATAATATCGAGGCAAATTCTATTCTTTACTATACTCTCAATCTGGGTACGAAACTCGCAAAAGTACTTAATGACTCTTCACCTTCCACTTCAAAATGGCCAGAATACGCCGCTGGTATCAAATCGGCCGCAAATGTTGCGCTATGGGATAACACAACAAATCTGTTTAGAGACAATGATACACTTCCATTAACAACACTCTATCCACAAGACGGAAATGCATGGGCTATCTTCTCCGGCCTTGTTTCCACTCCCGCCCGAGCCCTCCAAGTCTCCGATTCCCTAGCTGCACGCTGGGGTAAATACGGTGCTCCCGCTCCCGAAGGCGGCGGTAATGTCGTATCCCCCTTCGTCACCAGTTTCGAAATCCAAGCACACTATATGGCTGGAAGAGCCGATCGCGCTGTCGATTTAATCAAATTCATGTGGGGAGATTTCATGCTGGACGATCCACGTATGACGAACAGTACGTTTATAGAAGGATACTCTACGGATGGTACTTTACACTATGCGCCGTATACGAATGATCCGCGAGTATCTCATGCGCATGGCTGGAGCACGGGACCAACTTCTGCTCTGACATTCCATGGAGCGGGATTGAGAGTTACAGAGGCAGCGGGAAAAGCTTGGAGTGTGGCGCCCAATCTTGGAGGATTGACGGATATCGAAGCGGGATTCCAGACGGATCTCGGTAGCTTTGCAGTTAAAGCGTCAGGAAGCTCGGGGAGATTGGACAGTATTGAGATTACGACTCCAAAGGGAACAACGGGTTCCATAAGCGTGCCATATACGAATCAAACGGCAACAATGAGTTTGCAGAGTAGAGATGGAGAAGAAGTCGCCATGACGCGGCAAATCGCCGCGGGCAATGCGACGAGTGGGAGGTATGTGGTGGAGAATGTGGAGGGGGGGAATTGGACTGTAACTTTAAGCTATTAATCTTGGGTTATTAGAAAAATCATTGTAAATATATATTTGTTCCAAATCATTCGATTTTTGAGTATGATACTGCGCATGTGATGGTGGGCTAATTAATTTGATCTGATTCCAAGCCTATTGTGAAAAAGTGATCGTCTGGGAAGTATATTTGAGGATGAGAAATTGTACTAGATAGAATAATAGGCCAGATGATGTATATGTGTAAAAAAAGAAAGATGTGAGAAATTTCTGAGATTAGTGACCTCTACCCGACAGAACCTTATTTGCTAAATGGTCGAGGAGGTTCGTTGGGTGGAAGCTATGTGTATCCATGTATTATGGTTGGTCTGGGAATTCAGAGATTGAACGAGAGAGGGATTTGCGACTAGGATCTAAACATAATGCAAGAGGTATGAAGTATCTTTTCTATATATGCTGAGTAGATAGTATTTTTTTAAAGAGTACTTTTTTCTGTTATAAATCTTCATATTATTAGTCCGCAGTTCGGACTATCAGACACATTAAGATATTGAATTCGATTAGAAGATTGAATTATTTTCAAATTTTTGATTGCGTTTAGACGTTTGAAGAATCTCAACTATCAGCTGTTAATTGCCATAACCCTTTTTCTTGATCGTCTGACTTTAATTCAAATGTCTCCTTACAGCTGGACTTCCATTATCATCAGGTTGTGGTTCGAATGTTACACTACACATCCATTCATGCGACTTTACACTGTAAATGGCACAGAAACACAATAGCATGGGAAGCTAATGTTGAAAAGGTATCATGTATTATTAAAATCAAGGGATATCATTTCTATTACATATCAATCATTACTCATCCGAATATAACCTTTCCTTCATATCCAACCATGCGTTCATCCGACTTTTTTATACAATCATCTCATCTCATGCCATTAAATCATGATCCAACAAATATCCTCCCTTTAAATCATTCCATAAAGCATTAAATCATCCCCGTGTGACAAGTTTGTCATATTTGCAACGACCATACCAATCCATCACCTACAAAGACTCAGGTTGCATCAACTCCTCATGCTTAACATTTCCCATTCCGCCCTCATCAGACTTATGCCCATTCTCCTTTCTGAAGACATCACTCTCAGAAACAGGAGAGAAGACTTTACCCCATCGTCCATGAATAAAGTCATTAGCAGTGACCATCGAACTTCTCAAGTTCTCCTTGACCAACTGACTAGTAGGTTGACTGAAAATAACATCAATCTCCTCAAGCGTCTTGTTCTTAGTCTCAGGCATGAAAAGCACCTGGTAAAACCAACCCACTACTGCAATACCACCATAGAAACCCAATGTCAAACCAATATTCGACATGGCCTTTTGCATTTCAGCAAAGAAGTATGTAACGAGGAAAGAACAGAGGAAGAGCATGGTATCCGAAGTTTCCATTCCGTAAGAACGGAGGTAAGTAGGGTAGACTTCGGAAGGAATGACCCAAGTGAGACAGGCGTAGGAACCGAAGAAACCTTCGTAGAGAATAAGACCGGTGATATATGTACCTTGGGAACCCGCTTTGTTGGTCAAAGGAATGAGGTATGAGCAACCGATAATGACAAGACCGATGAAGAAACCGGGAAGCATAGCAATAGCCCAGAAACGACGACCAAATTTCTCCATGTAGAGAATGGCGGGGATGGTACCGATGAGAAGGGCTCCACCTCCAACAAGCGACATGAAAACAGCTTCCTTATCGTTGAATCCAACTTGTTGCATAAGTGTGGCCATGTAGTATTGAATAGCGTTGATACCAGTGAATTGTCCCAGGAAAATCATGACGTTTGCGTAAATAATCGCACGACGAGCACGAGGAACAGTGATGAAGTCGAGCCATGCGAATCTCTTACGAGCACCTTCCATCTCACGCTCAGAATCGACAGAATGTTTCATGACGAAAAATTCCTTACGAGCAGCTTCATCTGTACCACGAATACGACTCCAGACGCCCCAAGCATCCGCAGTACGTCCCTTGTGCATAAGGAAACGGGGTGATTCGGGCATGAAGAGAATACCAACAAGCATGATTGTGGAGAAAACGAGGGAAGATCCCAACATGTATCTCCAACCACCAGATTTAACCCCGACGAAAATAGCAGCGACGACGTAACCGAGAACTTCTCCTAGCGCAATCATGAATTGGTACAGCGAGACCAAGTTTCCACGATATTTGGGTGCGACGGATTCTGCGACGTAGACGGGGACAGTTCCACCTTCGAGACCAACACCAAGACCAAGAATAACACGTCCAGCCATCATCATGCCAAAGTTGACGGCACCGGCTTCGAGTGCTGCTCCGATTGTGTAGAGGAATAGAGACCATACGATAGCTTGTTTTCGTCCGACGGCTTCGTTCAATGGTCCAAGCATCAATGCACCACCGACGGCACCTAATGGTACGCCAGAACTGACCAAACTAACTTGTCTTGTGTTGAGGCCAAGCGAAGCTGGCATGTATAGATTTGCTCCCGAGATTAAAGATTGATCGATACCGGAAAGAAGACCTCCCATAGAGGCAAAAGCGACTAACAACCTGCACAATACCAGTTAGAAATTTTCTTGAATCTCTTGCACAAAAAATACATACCAGGTGTAATGTCTAGGGTCCTTGAACTTCAACTGGAATACGTCGGAACGAGATTTGCCTCGAGCTGTAACCTCTGCTTCCAAATCTTGTACTTCGTTATCAATGGTTTCCATGTCACCTGCAGCAGCGATTTGGAGAGCCTCCCACTCTGAGACCCTTCGGCCGATATGACCTGGACGAGCTTGAGCTGCACCCTTCTCGTTACCGAAATCTGATACATTTTCTTCACTCATCTTAGCAGGTGTGTTATAATGAGAAGAGCTGACGTCTTCATTATTGGCGACCTCCTTTGTGGGGAGATCTGACATGACTGTGAATTATATTATGATGTGTTTAAAAAATATCCGGTGGAAGAAGAAAGGGAGTTATGAGGGAACTGTCCACTCAGATAAATTTGAGAATACCCTTTCAGAAAAATAGAAAGGCGCGAAGAGAAATTAGAAAGGTATAGAAAACGGGTAAATGCAGAATGAGGGGAATGAGCGAAGATATATGATTTGAAGACCCGGGGCATCTCAATAGCCATCTTATCCCAAAGTCGCAACCGAATAACATTCCCTTTGAGGATTAAAGTTTCCAACTTGTCAGTTGAGAGCTTACCTGTTACTTTTACCTATTAAGGAAAGGTGGTAGAAGGATGTCATGTTGACGTTGGGTTCTTTCCGCAATCTTAGGGTAGTGAAAGTCTGAAAGTTTTGAACGAGTTACCAAAACAGGCGCTAGACCGGTTCAGCCACTTGGATCATAGGACTAGATTCTTAAAATTCCTGAATAAAATTTTGCCCCTGGGGTCTCCGATTCACACTAGATCTTGCAGAATCCCCTCGATTCCCCACAAGAAATTTCATGACTTCCCCTCCCATGGAGTCTGTTGGGGTCTGGAGAGGCGGAGAGTGGAGATTTTCAAACTGGTGGGTTGGTAGAATTTCGGCAATACTTCATTGCACAACTTGTGCTTGAACAATTATGATTGAACAGAAGTACAGCAAAACCTCTCTATAAGGATCCCCCCTATAAGGATAACCTCTTTATAAGGATATATTTTTCGGTCCCAAAAATTTTTAGGGCTAAAAAAGGCCTATATCCTTAAAACCTCTTTATTAGGATATCCTTATATTTCTCGGTCCCAGGATCACATATATCCTTATTGGGCCAATAATATCGTTAGGATTTGAGGTGTAATATAATATTATATAGAGAATTTAGTCATATTAGAAAAAAATCCGAAATTGTCACGGAATATGACCCGATCGGGACTAATCGGAAGCTAATTACTACTAGGTCGGGATTAGTCGAATACCTCTATATAAGGATACCTCTATATATCCTTAAAAAAGACTACAAAAACCGGTATCCTTATAGAGAGGTTTTGCTGTATTTACGCGGTTGATGGGATAAAAGAGTACTTCGTAAACCAATTTGACGTCAGATTTTTAAGCATGCAACCATGCCACGCATGCGTAGAGGGATGCCTCGACCGGCGTCTGGCGGTTCACCGGTAGTTCATCTTTTTCCGTTATTCTGATTGGAGTAAAAGACGAGAAAGTACCAAACTAGTTGAGATAAATCGCATAAGTATTCATCCCTTGTGAATCATTAGTAACATGATTCGTTAGTCGCTCAAATTCTCGCCCTAAATGGAAGATAAATTCATTAATCGGATGCATGATATCCTAGTACAGCATCCACAAAAACGCCGAAGATAATTGTTGATTGCACGGACTTTATCCAAGTAGCTCTGTTGTCGAAAATCTTCTCCGGATAGGACGAGAAAAGTTTTTATAAAGACTGACACCCATGCAATGATTGTTTGGTTGAAGTGTTCGGGAGTTCCGTCGCTCTGGTAGACTTTTAAATAGCCAAGTGGCGATAAAACTGTCTAGTACAATTAGTCGTACATCACAGAGATGAGCAGACACAAAAATCATGTTGGAAAAGAATAATCCCATATCAGTCGTCGTTTCCGCATAACCACAATATCCCAGCGGGTGGATTTCGGCTTAGAGTAACCATGCTCACTCTAGATCAACCACTTTTTTCAGTGAAAGCTTATTGAACCCAAGCTTCCTTGTTCCGCACTTCGTATGGTCTTGTTGTTTTGCTTATAACGAGTCAAGCATATGTCCAAAGTCTTGACACTAGACAAGCCGTTGAAAGCTTTTCGGATGGCTTACTCAAGCTTTCACATCTGATTTGGACGCGTCTTTCCGGAAAATAAACATTAGTTCTACAAACCCAGATCAATCAATTGTTCTTCGTGTCTTCCAAAAGTCAATTTTATTATGCTATGCATTCCTGGAATAAACTCTGGCCATCGCAAGTATTGCCTCGTCACTTCCAAATTCCTAATGACCAGAGGAAGCTAATCTATCCTGGCATCAAGCCAAACTGGAAAACTCCTACTACCCACAAAGAGGCCGAATCTAACATATTTGGATCCATAAAACTCGAACCACGCTCAAATCGTTGTTGATTGTATTCCCTGACCGTACCAACTTATCTTCTTGCATCTGTCAAGGCGTTAATCGTATTCGAGTCAGAAGATCATGATTCCGCAACTCCACATGCTGGATCACCCCTGATATCCAGTTTTCAAGAGCGAAAGTTTGTCTTCCACGCGACAACCTAGCCCATAAGAGTGAAACAATGCAGCTGCCCCAATACTCCAGTCTCCAGTCCCCAACCTCCAGAGCTTTTGAGTTGTGGAACCAACAATCGAATGTTCGCGGGGATGCTCTCGGTCCGATTACACAGTTCAAAGAACGACAGCTATGTGAAAGTTCCCAGCGTCAATATTAAAACCAGGTGAATTATCTCAGTCAGAGTCTGCTTCTATGGAAGTTGATCTTTGTTGCTCTGATTTCTTCATATCTGCGACATACTCAATAATAAATGTGAATCCAGCCCATACAATTCCCGTTGCGATGAATTGGAAAGCCCATGAAGAGATCAAATGCTTCAAGCTAGGCATCTGGACGCCTATTTCGTAGAAGTTGCCCAGACTGATACCAACTTTATTCCCGTATGCTCTACCGACAAATCGCAGCATTATAGCCTCAAGTGGCGTTATAAGAATGGAAGCAGCCAATTCTCTAAATCCTTCTGCGGCAAGTATTGTTGGAAGCATGGTAAGTCCAGTCTTGCGATATTTGACAACTTTTGGTTCTCCTGGAACATTTGTACTTCGTAGCTCAGCCGACCATGCCCCATGACCGACCGTTGGTTCGGCTGATGTAGATGTAGAATCAACGTCAAAGCTGATTAGTGTCGGTCGCGGGTCTTCATCCTCACCAGGATCAACACTCACCGAGGCATTAGTATGGCGCCGAGGTCGAGGTGTTGTTCTATCCAACGCCGGTAAGCCTTCAAGGGCTCGTAAAGTATCTTCCTCTCCGCCTCGAACTGGGCGACTCTCTTCGGGGTCGTCCGGGGTGTCAAATTCCAGTATTGGTGCTTCGACTCCAAATCCAGCAAACATACTATCTCCTTTTGGTCGAGGTAGAGATTTGAATATAGGTCGATACAAGAGTCGCGAAACGATGTATTTGAACTTTCCATGAAATAATACTGCCACAATTGGGGTTGTGGAACGAAGCAAAGCTAATGCCCATGAAATAATTGAACCTATGTTTCTTGAAGGTGGAGGTGGTGCTTGAAGTAGTGATGCTTTTGAGAATGGAATCAACGACATCAATGGAGGTAAGAATTGGTTATATTCGACCAATCCAAACTGATGCAACATAGCAAACATTCTTAAGTGTAATGTGATATAACGAAAGCTTAAGTTGAGGCTACAAATCATCAGTCGCGTCAGTATTTAGGTGTTTGTATAGATACTCACCATTTCTCGGCAATAAACTTGACCCATACTTCTCGAGAGGTGAGTCTTCTTTCATCTTCATCAAACATTTGATCTAGAAGAACTTCCAAGAAGCAGCCTACCCAGTCTGATACATGATATGCTATGACCGTGGGAAGCCCGGAAAAAAATAGGTTTGCGACAGATCTCCTCGTTCTCTCGTGCTGGATCAACGCTAGGATTCCAATTTCAGAATACGATCTGTAGAGCTTCAACGTGTAAGCATGACACTTTATTCAATTGATATATCGACATACCAAAACTCTTCGCCTGAACCCAATAGCACCCCAGACACCAGCATGTAGTGTAGCACGACCAGCTTCCAATATCCTTAGACCTCTAATTGTCTCTTCGATTTTCTTCGAGTTATGTAATATTGCAGCTTCTCTCACAGCATTTAAATCTTCAACAATACCCGTGACTTGCATCACTTCATTAGCTGCACGAATGTTTTCTCGTTCCCTCCGTTTAGTCTCTGGATTTCTTGGATGGCCATGTTCATCATATATCTGTGTGTAGCCAGCACTCTCAGAAATATCTGGTGGAGTTGGCCAGATTACTTGATCTTCATATGGTGTTCGACCCTAGAATGTGTGAGTATGAAGCTTCATGGGTGTCGAGCGTTTTGACAAATTCGAGATTTCCAACAGCTATAATAAATTGGATGTATAGGAAAAGACTTGGCCGCCTGCGACTAATAAGGGAAAGGCATTAACGTACCAATGCCCAAGCAGTCAATGATTCTAGCCTGCCCATGGTTGCTGATTGTAGATGCTCTATATCATGCACCAACGCATCGTATTCCTACTGTGATGGTTACAAGTAGCTATTTCTGTACCATACAGTCATGGTCTGATGAGTTCGATGAAATTATTCAAGTGTTTTACTCTTCTCTTCAAAGAAAGGTTTATGATCGCAATGGAGAAGGAATACACGTCTACACGTGATATAGAACGCTAAGATTGAGCTTATCGTCGACCCCTGTCAACATCAAAATATTTTTGATTCAAGTGAAAATAAAAATATTTTGGTCATCAACATTTTCACCTCCAATTGATTCTAGGAGCGCCAGGCATTATAATAAAGTCAGGAAATATAACAAAATCGCACGCTGTAAGAAAGCCAAATATTATAATAAAGCCATACATTGAGATACCAAGCTTGTGGCGCATCATGGCAACCAAGACCCCTTACCAAACGACATTCGAACCTGAGCATACTATACAGCCAATTTACACCGGAGGAAGTGTTGCACTTGACCAAACGGGTCGCATACTTGCTACAACACTCGGGGAGGATGCATTATTGACAGATTTGAATACAGGGAGGGAATTGGCTAGGATAGAAGGAGATGGAGAGGTCATCTCTACATTAAGTCTCACGCCGTCTGCTTCCCATCTCATCATATGTTCGAGATCATTGTCTATGCGAATCTACTCCCTACGACCT